TGTCTTGGTGTGTCCATGCCAGTTAGCTATATTTCAGTACTGACAATCTCAAATGTTCAAAATTATAAGCCGCCTACAGAAAGAATGATGATTCCTTTAAAATGATGAGGTTTGGAGAAAAAAAAATCCTTGTTTAGTTCTATAATTGGCTGTTGTTTATAATTTTGCATACCAGTCACTGAACATTTATGAGGCTCTCAAATCATGTTTTTGAATTTTTGCTAGCTACAGATGTATCATATATCTTAACATGACAACTGGGATTTCCAGGTAGTGATATAAGTCTAATAGCTGTGGATTATTCATCAGTGGTGTCACAGTCAGTGGCAATGTTTTTGAACACAGTCTGAGCATGATTTTTAATATAGTTAGCCCAGTCCTGCTGGTGGCTAAGGAAGTAATAGAGATGTTGGTTTATGTCATATTTAATATAAAACTCTCATTGATGATTTTCAGGCCTTCATTCAGATGTCAGTTAGGTCATTACGAGTAACACAACCTTTGAATATGACTCCATATGCTAGGTCATCTCCGAAAGTACACCTAGTTACCATTAATCTTAAAAAAAGTTGCACACATTGGACAGGGACAACAAGTGTAGTCTTAGAAGTCATTCTGCAGTATTCTTTCATATCTGTCTTATAATTGTATAGAGCTAAATTTAAAGAATTTCAAGACTTGTCTTACAATTCATGATTCAAAAAAAAAAAAAAAACCATGTAATTTCAGCTTCTGATCAATGAGCCAGTACTGCAAGCACTCCTAAAATTAAAGGAAACTATGACTCTGACCCTGTCAAACTCAGATCACTGCTGTGTGCTATAGAAAAGATACAAGGAGTAGAGAAAAATCATTGCTAGATACTATTACAAAGGCATTCCACAAAACACAGGTCTGCTGATATTTCTTATAACAAATTACTTGAACCTTAAAGGCTGTGTCAAAGCTATAGGAAACAGGAGCAATTACCACATTTGGGCTTCCTTGGCTGCCTGTTGGGATGAGACAGACATATGCCTTGTCTCTGCACAGTGTAGTTTCCTATGGAAATGCACATGCGCAGGTAGACAGGGAGTGGAACTGCACTTCCATAGTCCCCTTGGTCTAGATCATTTGGGGGATTAGAATGCACCCCAAACTGCACTTCCCCCAAGTTAATGGCCAGCAGTAGGACTAAATTTGGAGTCCTTGGCTCAGGAATAAATCTGTTACAGCCTCCTGCCCGCCCCCCCACAAAACAACAAAAAACCTCTACAAATAGTCACTGTATCTTCTCTAAATGCAGTAAATTTCATAATTCTGAAGTGCTAAATTCTAGTGATGTGAGTAAAACCATCTGACATATCTAACAGCCACACACTCACTGTTACAACTGCACTTGGACCTCAGAGGCCTGGAAGTATTTCTAGTGAAGACATACAATGGATCAAAAGTTGACCACCAATATGTTACTTCTGAAATTTTTATTTTCTATATGACTGTGTTATTTGCATAAAAGCACACAACAAAATACATAAATATTATCTAAAGGTGTCTACAGCAGCCTGCACTCAAATGATAGCCAAAAAAAAAACGAAAAAAAGATTAAAAGTAAGTAAGAATGACAAAACAGAAAGGAAGGTGTGAAACACACTAAGTCTTTGAAGAATATGGCTAGCTATTAGGAACCTTTGACATTCAGTTGAGATTGTGACCTTGGTATCACACTAAAATGCAACAAGGCTCTCTTCTTAGAGGAAGCCAAAGAAAAGCAAAGAAGCTGCTGAAGGGTCTAGAGAACAAGTCCTGTGAGGAGCAGCTGAGGGAACTGGGGTTGTTTAGCCTAGAGGAGGCTGAGGGGAGACTTTATCACTCTCTACAGCTACCTGAAAGGAGGTTGTAGAGAGGTGGGAGTCGGTCTGTTCTCCCAAGTAGCAAGCAACAGGATGAGAGGAAATGGCCTCAAGTTCCATCAGGGGAGGTTTAGATTGGACATTAGGAAACACATCACTGAATTAGTTATCAAGCACTGGAACAGGCTGCCCAAGGTAGTCCTTGAGTCACCATCCCTGGAGGCATTTAAAAGATGTGTAGATGTGGCGCTGAGGGACACTGTTTAGCCCTGGAGTTGGCAGTGTTAGGTTAACACTTTTACTCAATGATCTTAAGGGTCTTTTCCAGCCTAAATGATTCTATGATTCTAAAGAATAAGTCGCCAAGTTTCTTAGTAATTCAGTGCTGAAACAGACATGTATGGAAGACAAAATAATAGCCACACATATAAAAATTTTGTGACATGGCAAACCTAGAAAGACCTGTAATATTTTCATGACAATTAGAAGTTTAATATTCTTGAGGCCAAACAGAGTCCATAGCGTGGCACAGTGCAGAGGCCACAGTTTAACTGCTGATATTTCAGCAGCACTGTTTTCAATGGAATTCTAATCTAAATGATGCCTCACTAGAAGTGTCACCTCTTAGCTAACTTGCCAAAGATAAGGGGCAAAACTTGGATGATATATTTAATGTCTTTTTTTAAATATATATCCAGATAATATCTAAATTCATCTTGTCTACAACTAGAAGGACAAATAAGCAGCTCAGTTTTGAACTCCCGCCAATGTTTTTTTTGAGATCGGCAGAGGTATTTGTCCAGCACCTCTTTTCCAGAGACATCTCGTGGCTGCTAAACAAAGTCTGGAAATCTGATTTCATTCGTGAACTCAGATTTCCCATGTGGCAACCCACCACACCTCAAACTGCCCCACTAGCTCTAGAAAGACATGTACACTGTCCTTAAACTGGCACACGTCATTGTAGATTGGGTTACGTATGTCAAAGCTTTGTTCTGCACTATCCAGTAATGGGGGGGCTGTCAGTACCACAAGGTGTATGAAGATACTAAATTAAGAACTCTGGAAAGAGAAAGGATGAATTGAAGGAAGTGAGCTAAACCAAGAAAGTCATCAGGGACTTGATGTCATATGAACCAGTAACTGTGTATCTGTAACTATTCTGTTGCAACACTTTGTCCCAACCGCGGAAAAAAATGTCCCTTAATATGTTGAAATATAAGAAGTTGCTGCAGGATGCAAATTCATTTACAAAGCAGTTTATTAATAACTGATAGTCAGCAAGTACTTTTGAAAGTCCATGTATCGCCCAAGTCCTTTTTTTCTAGAAAAAAAGAAATTTTAAAACTCCTGTCTGAAATGTTTTTTTTACCTACATTCTGTTCATTATTTTTCTGTTTAAAGACAATACAACAGTGGCCAATCACATCCAATAAAGGACGAATAAATGAAGCTCATAAGTAACAGCTCCCTGAAAATGAAAATCTGGAAATTATTTGGTTTATAAGGAACTATTAAAAATATATATGGAAAATATGAAATGTATAATTAAATTGCTAGCCTCCTTCTGAATAATATCTGTAATAAACAGCTGATGAGCTTCAGTCATCATCTTATCTTATTCTTATGGAGACTTGAAATCTTGACTATGTCAAAATACAAAAAAAATTTAAGCAAAAAACATGTCAGCATGTGCTCCTGCTGCATGTGTCAGTTCCACGTGACAAGCTACTCATGATATTAAACCAATAAGTAGGAATGTTTTGCTGAATTAAATTTGAGAGTTAACTATTCCTGTGTATGAATAAGTCAATATAGGAACATCTTGGAACTGAACTAGCAGCTTCTCTATTGTATACAAGTCCTTGCCCAAAATACTTCTAAATTCAGCTTTTTTGTTTTGCCTAGAGACTGATTAAAGATAACGTGTGTTGGCTGGCAAGCAAGGAGAATCAGGGCTGTAAGATGTTTTATCACAGGCGTATCATATACTATCTATACAGCAAAGAAAAGATAACATTTACATGTGCTGCTGTTGTCAGGCTTCAAAAATGAAGGGACAATTCATGAGACCATTTATTTCTGGGTCACAGAGAGACAGAACAGAAAATGTGCTCAAAGGAATATTTCTCTATGCAGAAAATATTAATGCCTTTTTATCAGAAAAATTCTGTCACAGTATTTCAAGAATCATTTGAAAATAACCCTATTTGTCAACAATTACAAGTTTATTGGCCCTATTCTTTTGATCCAAGAAAAAAAGCAAATTTTGAACCTGTCAGATGTTTCGATATTAACGGAAAAATTTAGAGACTTTTTAATCTTTTCTCAAGAACAGTGGCATAACTAGAAGTTGTCAGGTTAAAAAAGAGCAAAATTATTCTCCAACAGAAGTGAATTGAGGGGGCAAAATGCTGCATATTCTATCTGAATAATACATTAGTCTTAGTACCGTGACTGGTACGATTTCTATCTACATGTTCTCTCCTAATGTATCATAGGGTAGAGAGGATACCAGTGGCATCGGCTTCCAAAGCATGCATTGTAATTCTGCTAGAGACTAAACTCAGTCTTGATAAACACTGATTTCCACCTGTGGCTTGACACTGTATGCCTGAAATACAGAACTCGCACTGAAATAAGTGCAAATGCACTGAAGGTTTATATCATGAAAAAGACATTTTCATATAGAAAATGTGAAATATTTTTCCATTATCATTTGACAACTGCCTGTCAGTAAAATTGTGCTTGCTATATCTTGAATAGTTTGAGAGTGCACTGATGGGTAGACTTCTTAAAGAGCACTAACTTTCTTCAAAGCTGCTAAATCCTTAAAAACTGGTTAAAAGATATATATGTATATATTGCCTTGCTGAGACAATTTTCTCAATGTTTCCTACGCTTTTATTAATAGTATAAAATGTAAACACTTAACTGACAGCCACGGGGGGAAAAAATAGTTGCATTGCAGAAGGGCTCAGAGGGCTATACAGTCCTTTATATGTATCCCCCCTTTGCTATGGACTTATTACAATCTCCCAAAAACACAGAGAAATCATTCAAGTGTTACCATGGGATGTAAGCTAGACAGTACTTACGACACTGGCAGCATTTCAGCCATACCATTCTGTGATGCAGTGTTCAACAACAGTCAAAATTGCAACTCACCTTCTGCATCTTCTGGTCTTGTAAGATCGATGACACCAGGGCCCAGTTTTCCATCTTCATTTGGTTTCCCTGTTAACTGGGGGCCTAAATTTTCAAACCTTGTTCTTTCCTGCAAAAGAACAGAAGTACTCTTAATGCTCCACATAGGTTAGTTCTCATTACATGCCGGTGCACGTGTGTAAGCACTGATATGTGCCTTATTTTTAAAATCTGAACAAATAATGAATGCATTTAATTAGAATTTTAACTCAGGGACAATTTTTTACAGATTCTGAATGTTTGCATTTATGAAAATTAGTTTTAAATGTGAAACATATACGGAAACTTTGAGATTATTTTGATCTGCACTGCCATAATGCATAAACCATTGTACATGCAAATACAAAACACTCTTGGCAGTAAACTGCTGATCGATGCTGCTCACTTTGCCTTTCTGCTTATTTTCTGACTTAAACTGGAAAAGACAATCAACATTTGGGAGATATGAAAATTCAGCAGTTGAAAGAAGAGTTTGTATTAAAACATACTGCTAATTTAATGGAAAAAGCACTTATTCCCCACTATGAGATTCAAGTTTGCATTCATACCTCTGAGAACACACAAGACTGAATTTATGCAAGGGGTTTTAAAAGAAGTATTTAAAAGAAGGAATAATAGGTGACAGAACTGATATTATTTTGTCTAGGAATTTAAGTTGTACCTCAGTGGAAAGGGAACCTGATTCGATTTAAAAAAAAAAAAAAAAAAGAAAAAGAAAAAGAAAAAGAATGCACACTCCCAGAAAAACAGAAAGCTTTTGAGAGCTGGATACATCTATAGGAAACCTGGTACTAGAAAGTGGAAACTGAAAGGTATGTGTTAACCTAGTTCCTCAATTGACTGCTGGACAAGGGCGCTATAAATGACAGTGTAATATTGTCTCACAATAGTAGTCTCTGTAGTGCTGTGTATCAGTAGCAAAGCGTTCAATGGTTATCATTAATTTAGCATTCTCATTTGAAGAAACATAGCATGTTTTCCCTCTTGCCTTGTTGTTACCTCTCCAGACTAAACTTGGCACTATGTTGTACTTGTGAATGAATGAAACCTTGTTGTTCATTACTATGAAACAATATTAAATGTCGTGTCAGCTTGAATTTACAGACATGAAATACCAGCTTTCAGCTCTATGAGCAGTTTCTCCATGTTATACTTAATGCATTATGCAGAAGTAGAGTGCTGATTGCTGTTCATTCTATTGTTCAATGACCTAGTTCTGTGCTGTGCATACTAGACATAAGAAAACATTAGAAGTTTCTCTCCTGCAAGATGATTAGAAACTTGGAAATGATCTTAAGGACAAAACATACTTGATGGCCTTGACTCCTCATTTGCTCCACCTCCAAATACTTTCCAATATGACTATTTTTCTATTATCATTATCTTTCAGTAATAAAACCCCACCAGGCCAACAACTGAGAAATTCTTTTGATTCCTCATTCTTTTAATTCCTTCAGTCATGGACTTTTAAAATTATTTTCTGTTTAATTTGCAGAGGAAGACAAGAAAGCACAACCTGACACTGGATTTGCCACAACATGCAGCTGAGGCATTTCAGGTACAAACTGCATTTCTAAAAGTTCCTCAGAATCTTCCAGTTGTTGAACAAAACAACTCTGCATTTTATATTTGGTTAAATTCTTAACTTATTTTCTTCAGTAAAATCTGTGGTTGATGAAGGAGATTATATATACAAAGGAACTCAGGAGCAAAGAAAGAGATACAAATTAAATGTGACTGCAGAAAGGCACTGCAATACTAGAGGCCCAATATTTTACTGAAGGATGTTGTGCAATGTAACATACACCTGAATCATCAGGATGGGATCTGTTTTACTGGTAGACAGAATAAAAAATAAGTTTGTCTGGGATTCTGCGTTCCATTGAAAAGGGCTGATTTGCAGTTGAGATAAAACCAAAGATCAGTACTAAGAAAACAGCTTTTGGCACATATATTGTGTCTTCCAAAATATTTGCACTAAAAGCTTTTTCTTAGGGATGTTAATACAGCACCTGCAGTACTCTTGGAAGAACAGCCTTTCAGTGTGGTTCAGAAGGAGAAGAAATACCTTTCTGCTATAAAAATCAACAGATCCTGCTACATATCAATATGCACATTTGGAATATCTTTCTAGTCATTCATTCTCTTTGATTTTACCAGAAAATATTCAGCTAAAAAAAAAAAAAAAAAAAAAGAAGAAGAAGAAAAGAAAGTTTCTGAAAGAATATCAATATTTTGACGTGGAAGGAGAAAAGGCAAAATTACATGATAAGGTTCAGGAACAGTAAAACGAAAGCACTTCTACCACAAAAATACCTGCTCTTGTGAAACAAAGGAGATGTACTTACAGCTATTTTATAACCCCCCTCCTTCTAACTCATAAAAAGCTGTGACAAAGCTGGCTATATTTAAGTCTCTGAAATGCCTTTTAAAGTCATTCCTTGCTTGCTTTTTTTACGGAAAATAATCTTCATAGGGATAAAAAAAATAATTTCAATATTTGCATTGGGTTTAGACAAATTCAGAGAATGGTAAAAAATAGAATAATGCTCCTCAGTACTAATAATGTTTTTACCTAGTAGATGCCTTTACAACTCCATGAAATAAAATAAATTCATATGAAATTTTTTTTTAGAGAGGAAACTTGTCCGAATAGGTGCCAATCTGTTTTTATGGGATTTATCTTTGCTCCTGTCTTACATTCACCTAAAGAGAATAGTTATTTGCACTAAAAATCCTCTAAATGTATACCCTTTTCCTAGTATGAGCAAGGACTGAGGATTGATTCTGTACACAGCATTCCTATATGAACAAAGACAGACATACCTTCACTAAAACTAAATGGCTATACATAGCTGCACTAACAAATACATTACCTGCACGTGCATTATATTTCCACACATGTACATCAACTACTGGATATACTGCTGCCTCCCTAACCTACATCAATAGAAAATTTTGGTCACTTTGTAATAAAGTCCACTGCTACGGACAGTGCAGATGTTTTGTTTCCTGTGAAAAAGAATTTTGGACCTCTATTTTGAACTGATTTTTGTACTGGCTATGGAGCTTATACTGTATAGTCTCATTAAGTTTTCCCATTTAAATTTCAGAAAAAAGTTTAGGACATGACACTGACAACCCTTTCTCATGACTAGATCAACACAGTCAATTGGAGTTTCCACTAGAAAGCTGAGAGCTCTTCCCAGCACAATTCAGATCCTTTGTGCTTCTTTATATGTTGAACACACAGTAAAAATAATCACTTCTTTAAAATAAGGAAGGGAAAAAAGATTCTTAGCAGCCAAATCTTAATTTTCCATTCTGTGATATGATTAGGCACTTATTTATGCGTTGTCAGTCACAAATATGCAGAAAACGTAAAAGTTATTGAAAAAATTAAACTCTGCTCAACTGTCTTGCAGGACTGTTGGTTCTCTAAGTGCTTTGAAATTATGATGTATGAGGTAGATGTTGCATATTAAATAAAGATATTTAAATTATAAAGCCCCCGTTAGTGAGAGCTGATGAATGTTAAATGTTATGAGCCACAAGGCTGTGGCATCCATCATATTCACATATTATCACAGTCAGTGATGGAGCAGCCCCAGTGATGACAGATAGACTGCTAGATAGTTATCCCTGATTTCCAGAGTCGCCAAGCAAGCCTTTCAACCCCTTTGGCATTATTTTTAGCTTTGCATTAAATTAGCAACTTTTTCCATCACGTTCTGGCAGAAAGTATCAATTCTTTCTTCATGTGTGGAAGGTAAAAGAATGATTTAGTGAAGCAAGGAGTAAAGGAAAAGGAAGCAGTAGCCTCTACCTCTGAAACGGCTGCAAACTTCAAATGACTGGAAACAAATATAAAATTGTGATCTTGTGAAAGAACAGCAATGAAACAGTAAGCACACAATAATGGCTTTTCTCTGCACTTAGATAAAAGCTGAATTTTTGATGTGCACAGTATATTTTCATAAAATTTTATATACTATGTTTTATACACTTATTGGCTATTCCATAATAATGTGTGTGCTAACAGTAAAATTGCTCTTAAATTTATGTGTGTTATTTATACGTTCCCACGTAACAATGCTTTTTGTTGTAAAAAATATTCTGTTTATTAATGTAACTTTACAACCACTGCATCCAAGATCCGTGGTAAATTAATGACATTTTTATTATTTTATAGTGTCATTAAATTTTTACTGATCACTCCATCAAACAGAAGCAATAAAGGCCGTAATGCAAACTGGGACACTTAGATCAGGGGAGCAGGAAGGCATTCCATATAGTCTGAAGTAAACGGCTTGCTATAAATGATATTTATACCATCTTTAAGGATGTGAGAATACTTGGACAAGTTTGGCAAAACTGTTTCTGTAGTACCGTGGATTGTGTACTTAAATAACAGTTTACTTGCCAGCAAGACAATTTTTTTGAAACCATATGCGAGAAGATGACTGATTGCATCCATCTCTTGAAAAATAATATATGAAATGTAATAATACACTGGGCACCCCTCCCTTCTGGATTACCAAGACTGATCCGACTATACCCATGCCTCAAATTATTTCAACATGCTTGCTTTTTCCACATCTGAAATGTACGCTTAGTCTGAAATGGAAAATGGCATGCACGCTGATTGTTGTGTAAAAGATTTAAAATATATGTATTTTTGCAACAAATACTTTTTACTTAAGTAGACGTGTTTGGACAATGATGTAATACCCTTTATTTCAATAGTCTAGCATTTAACATTAATTTAAAGAGCCAGTTTCTAGAAACTGAATTAATATGGGTCATTCACAGAAGCCACAGAGCATATGACTGAAGGGATATTATTTCTTTGAGGACAGTACTTTAGTTAGAATGACTACAAGCAATTATCACATGTTGTCCTTATGTATGAAATGTATTTCAATTGAATTATTTCATACTAAATGTTCTAGTAGCTTATTTGCTAACTGTGATCTATTCCCCTCATGTACCATGGACAGTAAACAACAGGCAAACAACTTACTATATTCAAAACATAAAAAGCACATTTCAGTAGAACACAGAGAAAAT